ATGACGGATTTTAAATATATAATTATACGCCATGATATGAGCTTGAGTCTCAGGATCAGTAGTTAGGGTGCGTATATTGCCAAGGATGTGTAGCTAGATATAGGGTAGTTGTGTACCCTGATAGGTCTAGGTACTCATGCCCACTATATGTGCGTTTTGCATGTTGCCTACTATTCAGGTTGAGACAACTCTATAATTTAGTGAGGTTCCTTTAGTGTGTATATATATATATATGGATTATTTAGTTATTGTTGAATTAATTAGGATGCGTACGTGTATCGGGCCTCTGTTTGGGATGTAGTAGATTAGAACTTGTATGTGGGCCTGACCCACCATTATTTTTCAAGTGTTCGTCAGTTCCAGTCTTAAAGATTGTTCGTGCCGAGCAGAGACAACCATTCACTCTTCCGACTCTTCGTAGGACTCGTCTTCATTAGTTACTTATTATTTTTATTTCGGTTCAGTTATTTCAGTTAGGATATTATTAGAGATCCACTGTATGGATTCCCGAGTTGTAGTTTAATTAATTATTAGTATCCGAGGATTGGAGGATTTTATTATTGGATTTTTAATTATTATTTATTTGAGGATTTTAAAATAGGGATTTATTATTTAGTTTCCTTCAGCTTATTGTTTATTTATTTCATTATTATTCTTTTTGTATTCAAATGCTTGTTTAAATATTAATTGTTTGATATCCCTCGGATCTGTGTTCGGACTTGATCGCCCATGGCTCTAGAATCGAGGGGTATCACAGTATCAGAGCCAGATTCAGTCCTTGATCTGATGCCATGTCAATCACCTGAGCCGAAAGGTATTCAGGTGACTCATCCAAGTAAGCAGGGTGGTCCAACCGTAACGATAGCGTTGAGATATGAAGCACTACTCAACAGTTGGAGTTTTTGGATTAATAGGCAAGCGCTCGCTCGTTACAATAGTCAATATTAGATTTGGTGTGGTTGCTCAATGCAAACAGGTATGTTTAGTGCAAATAGGATCAAACAATCCCTTTTTACTATTTTTTTCTTTCTTATTTTGATTCTTTTTTCACTATATTCACCAATTTAACATAAATAAGAGATCCATGCAAAATTGCTCAAGCTCGGGTCAAAATATAAAAATATGAAATAAAAACATTAAAATAAAAGGAGATCAAGTTTTTGTCGTCTACTGTAAATTTAATTTGGATAAAACCCTAGCAAAATAATGTAATACCACACCTGCGTGATACCAAGTAACAAATCATATTCTCTCGTATTTTTTCAAATTACATATATTCAAATGTATATAAATAAGTGTAACGGATTTTAAATAATTTACCCTCTCATGATCTGTTATTTTTTAATTTTAATTTTTATTTTTCCAAATGATCTGTTATTAAAAACAATAGACAAATTATGTCAACGTGTAATTAATAAAACCATCAACTTTCATTATATTTTTACAAATATTACAATTGTGTAATTTTTTATATATAGAAATTGATGATTTTATTTTAGAAAGAATTCTCTCAAATAAATAAATAAAAACAAACAAATTGGAGTATTGGGTTATGTGTCCAAGCTGTTCAGTATGCTATCAAATAAACAGGCCTATTAATCTATAGATTGGGCCACTATCTGTACATTTGCTAACACTGAAGGGTACCATGGCCCATGGAATCATAAGTTATGGTTGACCCAAAGAGTGGAACCTCCCCATTTCAAATTATATTTGCTTTATGGCCGAACAAAATTTACTACGATATCAATTTTTTTTTTCCCAGGCAAATTAAGGGAGAGGGAACTTTAACGCGAGCACGCCCGCTCTAAGGGTTGGGCTCTCAACCAGGTAGGCTGTTGTGTAATGACCACTAAGAGCATCTCTAGTGTCCTCTCAAACTCAAGATATAGGAGGTTTTGTTTTTTGATACGCTCCAATGGTATACTATACAATCTCTCAAAATATGAGATTCTCAAAACTTTTCTTATATATAGCAGGTTGTTGCTATAAGTTAAGAACTTGAAATGGTAAGCCTTTTTTTGAATTTTTGTGCAAATATGGGCTAGAAAGTCGCATGGAATAGCAAGAATAATGCATTGATTAAAATAAGGAAAGTAATGATCTAAGTGTAAGCACAATTGCCAAAATATATAGAGTTTTGGATGAAATATACCATTGGAGCATAATGGTTAAAATAAAATATTTTGGCACTTTACCTCCTCTTAAAATATAACTTTACCATAAAAAAATAACATTTTACATTTGAGATGCTCTAAGACATCAATTACTTGCTTCATTAAGGGGGAATTAAAGATAATTTGTTTCATTCTTCATAATTGTGCCAAAAAATTAACACACTCGAAAAGGATAATGTAATATCTTCTTTTCCCATCAAGACAAATTTGAATTTGTACTATAATAGCACTCTTATCTTGACGTCATTATATTTAATAACATTTATTCTCTACTCACATAAAAAATAAAAAATAAAATCGGATTTGATCATGTGTGATGCATCTGACTCTCGAACTACTTATCATGAAATTTTGTAAACTTTTGGACCAAACGAAATGCCCACATTGGACCGTGAAGGAAGGTTCTTTAAGCGAATATGGGCTGTCATAATTGGGTCCCCAACACGAATTAATAAAGTGGATCAATCTCATTAGCCATTTCAAATTATTCGATCCATATGTTTGTTTTCGATACAAGGGTGGGACCATAAGTCCATTTCGCTACCTTTTTGGGAGATACACAATAAAATCCAAGCCTATCAAAATGTATATATATACTTTTGTATTGTATGTTCATAAAGGTACATCAAACATGTATTCATAGATCCATATAATTGACATCCTGGTTTCTGTGGTTGAACAAAACCTCATGTGCTATCAATTTTTCTATTTTTTATTTAAAATCAAGATAATACATTAATAGGCAAGTTAAATAAACTGTGCCTTCACAACCTCCATCAAAACAGGAGGAAATTAACATAAAAATTCAGTTTTGGGCTTCACATCATTCATCAGATATCTTCGGTTTTTACCATTTTGTTCATGAAACAAGTACTGAAAGAGCAAAATGTTCGGGCAGGGAAAATCAGTTGCATAAACTTATACGGCAAGGAAAGTAAATGGGATTATGAAATGTACATAAAATTTATATAAGATATTGACCATTTTGCCCATTAAGTGAAATTAATCTTAAGAAATTTAAAGTTAAAACTTTACATAGGACATAAATTTTTTATATTATTTTTAAGATAAGAATGTTATATTAGAAATCAAGACTTGATTGGAACTTCTAAAAACAACATAGAACAACCTAATCATAAGTTACGACGAACGGAATTTCAAAAATTTAGGCTAATAGGGTAAATAGCTAATAAGTGAGGGATGGAACAATAGAAGCCGGACCGGGGACACAAATGGAAGGTAACAGGTCGGGCGGTCGGGACCACGGTGGCTGCAACTGACACAGGCATGTGGCAGTGCACAATGGATACCAAAAAGGCGAAAATGGACCCTACTATCCTCTCCACTACACCGTTGATGTTAATTACCTTCGACAACTACTACTCAAGTGCAGCAAATTATATCAAAATTCAGTTTTTTCTTTTATTTTTAGGTAATTTTTTTTTTTCAAAAAAAAATTATTTATTGGTGTCAAACATTCAAGTAAATTTTAACATATATTTAAATTTTTGCTTACATGCATTTGATTTGAATTAGATATATTACAATTATTGTATGGAGTGTATTTATCTAAGAAGTTCATACATTCCAAATTGGTATACTTTATTGACCCTTTGCATAGGTGTTGACTAAAACTTGATAATTCTATTCAAAATTTAACTTTTTTATTTTAAATATTTCATGAACACATCTGGAACAGTAAGTCAATACATTCTTGAAACTTGATCAACAGATCGTACACTCAGTCTTATAAAAAAAACAAATACATTGTATGAAGACAATATTATGAGATCAAAATGTCAAACCCCTTTTTTCTTTAAAATTTTGATATTAAAGAAATATGTAGCAATGATTACAATTAGATTAGTCCATGTGTATTTTGAAATTAAATTGGTTATAAAAATTTCATAAAAATTTGAAACGAATTGACCACGAGACTAATAGAACTGAATAGTGAGAAAAATATATATATATATATATATTCAATTCGGTTAGGTTGTACGAAAATGAAATATTTTATTATATATTATATTATTTAAAAGGAAAATCTTAAAATTAGATGCGTCCGGCAAACCAGGCTCATTTGACTATTTGGATGAATTCGATGCACAATGCGCTAGGAACACCCAATACCTTCTCCGTCGAAATATAAACTAAAGTTGACCTTAAAAATGTAAATATATATATATATACAACTATATAGTTGGAAATTTACTGCTTCTACACAATTACGAGCAAAATCTACCCAATGTGGAACCCAAACAAGATTTACATACATTTATGTTGTTTTACATCTAATATCATTGCTCTCTTGAGATGGATTGTTCGTTAGTAACTAACATTTGTTGTAAAGCATATTATTGTTCTACCACCAGACAAGTTTTTTGTTTATCAAATGTTCAATATTTGAAAAACAGATTATAATTATCAAACAATCTTTTTTCCGTTTACTATTCTCTAAACAAGTCCAATATTTGAACCTTACCAAACAATGTTTCTATTTATTTTTATTTTTCTCTTATTTATTTCTTTTGGAAAGTTGAGCAATGTACATTAGCTTGTAAAACTGTACATTACTCCATGTATACACTTGGGGTTTACAAAATATGGAATGGAAACAAACTAAACTATTTCATCCCGAACGTGTAAGCCCAACCAAATAATATTCATCATAATGAATTCTAGTGGATAATAATGATATATATATATAAATGTTATAGCTTATTAAAAATGCTTAATAATTATATATTTTTTACTAAATTAACAAGATTTGAGCATGAGATGATGAAGTTTATTTGACACATAACACGTGAAAAAAAAAAATAAAGTAATTAGAAAATGATATAATAGAAGTCTAATGCGTTATTTTGTTTATTAATCTGAAAACAGTGAAATTAAAACAATAACAATATATTCTAAAACAAATGTAGTGGGGAAGACGAGGCTGCTGTGACCGCTCTGGATTAGAATGGCATTGTTATAAAAAGTTTGAAATCTCTTCATCCACCGGATAACCTGCCAAAATATAAACTAGATTTAGCTGCAAGTGTCGAATGTTTCAGTGTCACATAAGTGAAATTTCATAAGCGAAAATGTTTCATAAGTGAATCTTTATCCACACAAGTGAAAATGGTTCGGTCATAAGTGACATTTCATTTAGGAGTTTTATAACCTGTAACAAATGAAGCAGCAAGAATTTTCCTCAAACCATGCTATTCCATTGACCCTGAAACATGGTTACATGGATTTAGAGAGAGAACAAAAATAATACTGATAACAAAAAAGGGGATAATAACTTCCGTACCTGTTCAGCAACCCACAAACAGGTCAAGGGTCAGAGCAGAACATGTAAAGATATGAACTATAAAATCGCCAATTCTAACGAAACATCATAAAACCAGTGAGTATACAGAATCATTTACAATATGACGTGCATCAATTTGAATCTTCCTGTGTCTCAACTTGCTTCCCGAATTTCCTAAGTGCAAGTGAATATATTGTTTTCCTTCTCATGGATGTTCCTTCGGCCACCAACTTGACTGCCTACATGCACAGAGTAAGGCCATCATAGTCAACAATTAGAAGGGCCCCAACACTTCATGATCCTTTTAATAGATAGCAGAAAAGATATAATTACAAAAACTGAATACAGTCTAGTGGGAAAAAATTACAAATAATTTCACGAACAAAAATTAAACAGAACAATATAGTTTTTTCTATAGTACGTTTACACAGAATCTAAAATCAAAATCTGAAAGTACATTTCTTGATCAAGACAGGATACGAGCCAAAAAAATGAAATAAGAAACCAAAGATATTGATAAATGTCTCATGCATCGAATGGAACTCCATAAATATCAACAATCAAATTTCTCAAAATCTGATGAATTTCACCAAAGAATATCTTTTGAAGATAAACAAAAATCTAACAGAACAATAAAATTTATAGGCAGCGAGCATAGGTGAGTTTACACATTAACTTGTTTGTTAGTTTATCTAAATGCATGATATAAAAAGTTTAAAGGAGTAAGGGTAGAGCTAGACAGAAAGAGTGTAACTAGTATCAAGCATTTGCAACATATACATGTGTACAAAGACTAAATTTGATTGAAAAAACTCTGTAAACAGAAAAAAATTCATTACCATAGAAAGACTATGCCCGTTGGAGATAAGCTCTCTTAGTTCATTCTCAAGCTGGGACTCGGAAGGAGTTTCAACCACACAATTTGTGTTTCCTTCAATCAGTAATGTAATTTCTCCCTTTGGTTGTTGAGTTGAAAATGCTTCGTTTGCTTCTTCCAGTGTCCCCCGCCAAAACTAATAAGGCATCACCATCTATATTAGTAAAAAAATAATCATTTGAGAACAACCCATAGAGGTATCACCATGCTTCTTTTTTCTTTTCTTTTCTTTTCTTTTTTTTATTTTTTTATTTACCAGGGAAAAAAAAAAGCCACAGAGATACAGATGTGACTAGCAATCTTAATTTCTTTTCATTTGATACGTAAAGCATTCTTAAAAAATTTCATAGTGATAAACTAGTTTATCAGTCTAGTTGCATGTCCTTGAATTTGTACAAAAAGTGTGTACATATTATATATATATATATATATATATATATATATATATCAGCACAATCATATAGCAAATGAAATATAATGCAATACCGTGTAAGAGCAGCAACTGGGAGTGGCCACTGATTTGAGAGTGATAGAGACCTAATTTGGGCTGGAAGGATAGATTGATATAGAGCTAACTTGATATATATATATATACATGTATGTATGTATGTATATATATAGAGAGAGAGAGAGAATCCAGTGGTTGTTGAGTTCTAATGTCCAAAACTAAAACATAACTCGTCATTGTGATCCAAAAAGGAAATAGACAGACAGAAACACACACTAGCAGTGTATTGAAAACTATGAGGACTTTATAAAAGTCTCACGTCATCGACTCTATTTTGGAACACAGCCTTCATAACAATTATAGTGGTATAATAATGTGCCCCACTTTCATTCACTACTGTGTGAGAGATATAGCCAGCACCACAATCAAAATTTATTTAAAAGCAATGAAGTACCACGATTAGAAATGTATCAGCAACATATAAACCTACCTCTTCATGTAGTTTTGTCATCTCCCGAGCTATGACACACCGTCTGCAACACACCCAGATAAAGAACTGTAATCAATTCTTAGTAGCACATCTTATGCTCATAAGAAATGATATAATAATTGAAACTAAAAAATTTGTTGTGCAAATCAAACTAAATATCACTAATTAACAAATTAACTAAAGTAGGTTTAGTTCCCAACCCCACGCCCCACTGCATAAACTGAATTATGATTAAAACTTCATTACATTGAAACCTTATCATGGTTAAGATTATTTCCCGCCAATTTTTTCATGGTACCAAATGATTTCATTCAAGTTGAAAGCCACAAAGAGACAAGGGAAGGTTTAAAGAATTGAAGATCGAATTGTTGAGAAACAACATGGTGGCCTTCAATTAACATGGATGATATGGCCCTAGGTATATCTAAATGGTGAAAAAGGGTTCAGGCCACCCTAATAAGTTATCAAGCTTTGTTGAGTTAATCTATATCAAACTCTCTTAAGTAAACCTTCCTGACCATACCAATAGTTTCCCATATTAACTTCTAGCTGCATCCAGGAAATCAATCCTTGATGATTAAAAGATAACATAAACAAAAGCAATCATGTCTCATGAAAATTGTAAATAAATAAGGTGATCAACTCTCATCCACTATAATAAATGATTTTGTAATATGTTCACAGAGTTTTGCTTTGAGGCTAGATCAAAAATATTCTTACAGCGGAAAACTATTGGAGTTTCTTGCTCTAGCTTTCTCTCTTTCTCTAAAACTCCAAAGAAGCTTGACAATGGGCGGCTCCAAAAACCAAAACTATGGCAGGCAAATAGCTGTTGGTTCCTCAGTGGATCTGAGCTTCTTGTTTGAGACTTTATGACATGCTTCATGTGCCGTAATCCCTTCCTGCCAACAAACAGTTTGGCAAAGGAAGAAAGATACAACACCTGTTCCACCCAAGATGCACCAGCGCAACACCAATCATTACTAGCAGAAGAAAGTTTCCCACAAGTTTGATCATTGCAGCCATGACTGCAAGGTATTGCTTAACAAATCCCGGGTCTGTAAACAAAGCATGTACACCAACAATCTCCAGCCAATTCGGTGGAGGAACATTGCGGAGGAGAGGTTGAAGAAGATAATGGGGAAGACGAGACCTACTGTAACTACTCCGGATCAGAATGCTGTTCTCAGTCCAGCGATTATATGAAAGCTACAAGGAAGAAGAGGCAGGTGAACAAAACGAGCTAGCCTGCCAGATTGCAGCTTCTTCCAAGGCAGAAACATGGATAGGAGATGCCTGCACACCGGAAAAAAGACTGATACACTGATACACTGATACAACTGGGTGCTACTGAATTGCCTTCTTAAGTTTGAACTCGGTAAATCCTGCTGTCCTACTCTTTCATTTCAACATGAAAATGACACCCATGAGCCTACTCATACAAATCCTTCGAGGCTTCGAAAGAAGAAACTGATGACTGGATGGAGGTCCAAAGGAAGAAACCAAGCAATGATTTTTCCCAATTCTCCTGAATACCACCAGAGTGAATAGACAACAAAGCAAGCACATTCCAAGTAAAAGACAGAGGAAATATTATCATGGCTAACTGTACTAGGGACGTGGTCAATTGCAACATAGATGAGATTCTTAACTTGCACTCAACTATTTCGGATAGTAGCTATCACTGCTCCCCTTCCTTCATACTGCCTCGTCATCATCAAAGCATAATTGGAGAATTCCTCCTAGACTTGATATGATGACTCAATGTTGGTTGATTGATGACCTTTTTGTATCGTGTTCTGCTAGAGTTTGCTTCACTGGCCACTCACCATATGAGAGGATTGTTTATTTCCCTAGCTTGTCCACCTCTTAGGAAGTTACTTGACGTGTGTTCCATTTGGGTTTGTTCTCTCTAGTTTCTTTGCCCACTCCAATCAAATTGTGATTGGTTTGCTTTCTAGTGCCTGCAAGCTTTACCTGCAGGCATGCCTGGTCTCTCACTGCATATCCTATTCTTTTCAGATCTACAAAACTTGTCATAACCTACCGAAAAGTTACCAGAAAATCAACGTTCGTGATTTCATTTGGCTTGATTAGATTATGCACAGATGATATGAACATATCCTATAAATGAGCAAAAATGAAGGAAATTCAGCTGACATAAGAAATACCTAGATTCAAGAAAAAAAATTCAAACAAACAATTTTTCAAATCGAGGGGTTTAGAGATACACATAGTTTAAATCTCTTCATTTTAAATACCAAACGCACATTTTATATGAATATATTATAGTCATCCAAGATAGAAGTATCTTGAAACATATGGTAATTTGAATACAATTTTTATGTTTCATGATTGTTAAAGGATTTAAATATTAAAGTTACACGCTCTCTAACAGCTTAGCTTTTGGAGTAGATGGTTGTTTACATGGTCGCAGAGCCAAAGGTAGTTCAAACCTCACCGTCACCCTAATTAAAATTTGAAAAACACTTGTTGGACCAAAAAGGAGGTCACACGTGAGGGGGCGTGTTGAAGGATTTAAAAATTAAAGTTACATGGTTGTTAACAATGATCAATGACAAAGTGTTATAATTTGTATCAAATAATTTTTTTGATTCTTTAGCACTGAAAAATGAATCATATAACAGATGTTGCATAGTAATCTTTTAAAAGATAAAAATCTCCAATGCAAAAATCATAATGAACTTTGGAAGATATAGGCAGCATGACCTGATATTTTTTCTTATAAAACACCTAGTGGATCGAGGATATCATGAACCATCAGATGAATACTTATAAACTGAACTATAGAAAAGCAATGACATTTCTTTAAGAACCCACTCACACTTGTGCATGCAAGCACAGAGACAAACATACATGATAACACGGATAGACAATTGTCTTCAATGAACATTTACCTGGAGTGGCCAAATAGCGAAGAAGCCTCTTCAATAAATTTATGAAGCTTATGAGGAGGAACAAAGAATATTTGTGTTGATGTTTCGTTCGCAGAAATAGTCAGCCTCTCTTTCCTTGATCCTGCATGTGTAGAAAGAAACCCGACTGCAGCCAGCCAATAATAAATATGACCTTAGGTACTACTATTAACCAACTTGTTGGCTCTGTAGTTCGAAAAAAAAAATTGATTGCATTCCACAATACTAATAACAGATTCTATGAGCAACTCACCGAATGTGAACTCATCAGTGGGCAATCCAGAGGCAGAAAGTGCAGCTGCAAAAGCAGACGGACCAGGGACAGGAATAACAGGAATATTCTCATTCACACACAACTTTGCCTGCTCAAGATACCAAGTTAGATTGGTTATGTCCAAATAAAAAATGTGTTAGATCCAACCAAGGTGTGACTCTTGGCAGTTTCTAACCAGAAAATTCAAGAACTAGTAAGCAAATTTTGACATCGTGGAATCCAAAGGAAAGAGGTCGGCCTGGTTATTGTTCTCTTTTATTTAACTTGCAATGTTAAGGTCACAATATCAGTAAATATTGTTTCACAATATAGACAATATTATCGGTCATCTGTTCTGCCGACCACATGGTGAAGCCCATAAATATCACAAAGAATCATCATAGACTAACTTGTATAAGCATTAGAATGGCAATTGTGAATCACTTCAGAGATCCAGTAACTTGAAAGTCTTGGTTTATAAAAAAGCAGCAATGTGCAGTTTCCATTTATATGAGCTTGACTCAGTGTACAAGTTGATAAACCGGCAGAAAAGAACAAATATATATAGAAGTAGCAGCCTTCTAACCTGGCTTTATATTTATAAATTAGTAGCACAACCAAACTGGGTGACATGCAAATACTAATTTTCACCTGACAGGCACATAAATGCAAGCAGAAACCGATACATAGCACAACCCCCTAGCTTCCCAAGCTTCTATAAACTAGGTGATGCAAACTAATATAAGCAAACACAATATTATAAGGAATAGGGTATCATCAGACATAGCCAATGAGAAAGTACATCTCATAGATACAGAAGGTTGATGTGACTACTATACATCTGTTGTTATTCCTGTCATAAATACATTAGAACTCCAACACAGCGAAAGCGGAATGCATAAAATGCTCACCAATTCTGTACCAGGATCGCTGATGCCCGGTGTCCCTGCATCGCTGATCAGTGCAACAATTTCACCTTCTCGCAATCTGCTCAACACTGCATGCTCTCTTTGAGACTCATTGAATTTGTGATAACTCAGCTGAAAACCTAAAGCATTTAATCAGAAACAACAGAAAAGCAAGTGCCTAGGGTGAAAATGGATGTGCAGAAGCTACAACAATCTTCTACAAATAATCTTACAAGAGGAGTTTTAATACTGTAGTACTGAAGTAACTTCCCTGAATGCCTTGTATCTTCTGCAAGTATCACATCAGCTGATCTTAAAACACGCAAAGCTCTGCATTGTTGAATTGGCGAAAGATTTATAGTTTGATGAGCTCAAGCTCAATTTCAAAGTATTGTTGAATTGGCGAAAGATTTATAGTTTGATGAGGTCAAGATCAATTTCAAAGTAAGATGGATATAAAAATAACCACATTGCATTTCATTTACTATGTCATCGAGAATTGAAGCAAAGAAAGAGTACATAAGCACCACATATAAAAATTCAATTATTTGTCATCTTAGATACATACCGTAACGTGATATCTTCAAGATTCCCAATTGGTGTTCCTACTAGATATAAGCCAGGTTTTATAACAGTCTGCAAAATTTAATAGAACATGTTTATTTATCAGTATTCTAAAAATCAAAGTGGCATAGAAGAAAGAAGTTGCATCTCTAGTCTCAAATCAAGCTCTCTATAACTAATTTGATGCGTCTGGGAATTTGTAGGCTAAAGAAAGACTAGTAAATTAGGGTTTTAACTTACTATGCGTAAACCCTAAACCCTAAAAAAAAACTCTGCTTGGTTCTCGGGAAAGATTGAAGAAATTGATTAAACTCTTGGTAATGATTTCGATTTCATTTGTTTCAATTTCTCTTAAGAAAAAAACAAATAGAGGAAAAAACAGATAAATGAGAAGTAAAAAACTTACATGTTTGGAGGGTTCTTGAGAGGGATATAAGTCGATAGATTGTGTGGAGTTGTGAGAGGTAGAAGAGAATCGGAGGGTGAGAGTTGAAGGGTAAAGAAGCGAAGAGAGAGAGGGTAAAGAAGTGAGGGTTGTTGGCGTGCATATGAACTTTGGACGCCATTGAAGAGACGAAGAGAGAGAAGATACTGCCATTGTCATTGAATTGAAGCGGCGTGTCAACATCGCTCTCAGGCTTGAGTCTCACACAGACTGTGTGTGTGAGAAATTGATAACAGTTAACACTACCTTTATTTTATTTTACTTGTTTTCTTATTCTGCTTTTGCTTTGAAGTTTGAACACCTTCGCTGTGACCGAGTGGAATGGATTTTAACTTGAAAGCCGAAAAATAGAAAGAAAGAATTTAAATGAGTTCCGACCGAGCATAGATTTTTTTGGTAAATTATACAAATATCCTCTGAAGTTTAAGTAAATTATACAAAAATTCTCAATTATCAAAAAATGAAATCGATAATATCATAATATTATAATAATATTCTTCTTATAAAATTTAGTTAACAGATCTATTTGAAAAACATGGAAATTAAAAATTAAAGTAATAAAAACTGAATGACATGCCCGTGTCAGTAAAATCCAAAATAATTTATCTTGATCTAATATTTAATTTATTAATAATTAAAATGTCTTTTTTTTTTTTTTTTTCTTTCTCTCAAAATAAAGTAGAAAAATTACTAGATCAACTTATTTAAATTATCCATGACCATCTAAATAACAGGAGGGCTGCTTAAAAAAAATAATGACGAAAATCCATGAAATACTCTCCTCATTCCTGCTCAACCAAAGACAAAGGAGATAAAAAGGCCTTTTCCCCATTCCTCCATTCTTTCCTTCCAAATTTTCATGACCTCTCAAATTTTCATCCATCCTATCAAACTGAATATAAGGCTCCAGTTACGGCAACCTTAGTGCAGCCACATGCAGCTCACTAATGATGCTCTTGTACCAGGTACCGTGAAATTTGGACAGAAATTAAATTACTTAAAAAAACATACATCTTCATATACTCAAAGAAACACACACACACAAATAACTCAAAGCCTATATTGGTTCCATACTATTACTGCTTTACAGGTTATACCCAGCATTGCTGCCTTGCAGCAGCTCTTGGGCAGTTGTTTCATTTCCCAACTAATATATATATAGTAGGGTTTTTGAAATGGAAAATATCATGTTTGTCCCATCTTTTTATGAAAATTTGAGAAAGATACATCCTTTCTAAATCCACATGCATATGAATGAGGTGGTGTTACAGTCCTTGGGTAATCGTTACACTTTATCATCATGGAACCACCATCTTGTCTCCTTGGGAGATCTGCCATTCCTACAGTTCTTCACATAACGGTCGTTATCTGCAGGACGTTGCTGTGCAACAGATAAAAGGTGTGAGAATAATGCTACAGGAAATTGCTGCATAAAGAGATCTTTATCAAGAAAACACACATACATACGCACACACGGATTAAAGCTCTAAAATTTAGAAATTTAAAATCAAACCTTCGCGGTGGAGCTTGATAACATGGAAAGAATGCTGATACAGATAGAACTAACAGTCATGGCTGGGGACCAAGAATCATAGAGAATATCTGCACACGTAAACCATAATATGCCACATAAATCATTGAAGGGCAATAGACCACAAATATCCTGCCTGAAGAAGGAACCAAGAAAATTTTCCCTTCCCAACCAAGAAAAAAATTTGAAATCTTTTTCTTTAATCAATAAAAAAATAAGCACGAGAAAAGGAAACAAATTTACAAGCTTGTGTCTGTAAACTCGTATCAGTTAGGGATAAGAGAGATTAAAGCAGTGTTATCAAGCCTGGCCCAACCGCACAGGTTGGTCCTTTGAACCGTTTAAAGAAGCAGACGGAATCTGCCCACTTTGTGCAAGGAGGTTTTCGGAAACCAGCTCGACCCAGAAAGGTGGTAGGAAGCCTCTTGAACCCACAACCTCAACATGAGATGTCAAAACTAAAGCTAGCATTATTCCCATAACCTCAGTACTGTGCGGTAACTTTATATTTACTTTTTTTTTCCTTCATTTCCAAAATTCCAAGCAACCAAATAGAGGGTGTATTGGTGTAAAATAAATGACCACATAAGAACAACAAATAAACAAATGATGTATCCAAAACCAGAGATAGGCTCATGAAAGACAGGGAATAAGCAAGTTTCTCCTTGTTTTATTTTGATTATATTGAGATCTTTGAAATTATTTCCTTTTTAAAAAGTTATATCTCAAATCTAGTGTTTCTAGCATAACTTAACAATCAGTCAGAATCTCCTCGAAGCAATCCTTGGATAATTTATCAATTGCAATCACTGTACCAGAACTTTTTACAACTTAACATGTCAGAGAAAAGGAGGGGATGGGGGTGCGTGTGCTAACCCGTTCACTGTTACCCTCTTTCTCTCTCTGAGAACTGTGGCAGGAAAATTGGGCCCTCAGATCTTAAACTTTGTCATGCATGAATACACCAAAATTCAAGCCTTCAGGCCCACTGGTGCCAAAGACATTCGCCTTATCGCATCCTCAATAAAACGAGAGATTTAGAACACAATTTACGGCTGAAATTCCTCTTTCCCTATTATTAGTCTTTCTTTGGAAGTTATGGGCTTACTTGGTTTGTAATTCTAAAAACAGTTCTAAAAACTTTAGAAAACAGAAAAAAGTTTTTAAAGAACAATAAAAGATTGTTCTCTGAAAACAGACTTTTTTATAACTGAGTTTTCAGAAAACTGAACCTAACAGAGTTTTTTTGTACAGTTTTCTATTTTCAATTTTCAAAGAAGAGAAAATTGTTCTTAGAGTTACAAACTAAGTAAGGCCTATATTTTTTATGCATGATCACTTATAGTAGTTAAATGTGATTAGGCTTCTAAGCCCAAGACCACATCTTTTACATTAATAATTATCTAGAAGGCATTGAAGTTGGTGGTGATGAATTCAACTGAAGAGTAAAATCTTAGATGACCCAACAAAATTAACCACAAGGTCAAATCCAAGGCTGTAAGAGCCCACTCCACCACATGGTATAATATTGTTCGCTTTGGACCTGAGCTCACACGGTTTTGTTCTTGGGTTTTATCCCAAAAGGCATCATACCATTTGAAGATACCACTAGCACATATATACCATTTCCCCTTTCCACACCCAGGCAATGTGGAATTGTGCACCCGGAGCCTGCAAGTGTCTCGCACCGTCTATGTGCACCCACACACAAGGTCGCCACAATCCACCCCCCTAAGAGGCCTAATGTCCCCATCGGCACACTTTCAACTGGGCAGGCTTTGATACCATTTATAACAACCCACTTCACCACATGGTATGATATTGTCCGCTTTGAGTCCGAGCCTGCACGGTTTTGCTCTTAAGTTTTACTCCAAAAGGCCTCAATTAAGGCACGCTTGCAATAACTAATTACTCACTAACATGATGGCCATCACACACACACACATATATATGTATACGTATATATATATCAAATCCAAATCCATTTCAACATTAAAGTGTAATGAAAACTACACTTAAGCATGTGAAGTACATTGAATCAAATATATACACATGGGTTCATTATATCTATCAAAATATAGCATGCTTTATACACCCACATACTCGAGAAAACCCATAGAAAGTGTAAATTAAGGATCTAGCAACCCCCTACCTCAAAATGGTGTAAGCCCATTTGTCCCACCGAAATGAAAATCACCCAAATGGAAATCCGATACCATGGTTGAGTAGAGCACGATGAGCCTAGCAAACTTTCCATCTTCACCTTCATCGGCTTCAGACTCTAAATGGCTCAAATGAGGAGAGAGCAAGTGGATCTCAAGCCACTTTGAGAGAGAGAGAACGAAGGGAATAAACCCAAAAACTCAAAAACGAACCCGACCTGGGCCCACACACCCGTCATCCCGGGCCCACTTGCCCGACTAAGACAAGCAAACTCGTTGAAGCAAAACCATGAATCTGGAAACTCCCAGAACGAAGGGAATAAACCCGAAAACTCAAAACGAAATTCCCCATGTGGCATTTTAACACCTAAAAGCACGTAGAAAAGGGGAAGGAAAAAAAAAAAAATAGAAAACCAATCTCTACAAGGGCCCACACACAGTAAATTAATGCCATAAAGGAGGAACCATCTTTAAACTACCTTATAATATGAGTTCAGCATCTACTTTGCTTCCAATAAGCATGAAACTTCTATCAGCTGAATATCATACCCATGTCAATATCCATATAGAAGTTCTGGAAGGAAGTTGTTGTGGACTAAAGATTACATTTTCCCTTCAGATCTTCCTTCAAAGTAAAGATGACAAGGAACCTGATCCTTGAGAACTTTGAGACAGAATTGGTGGGTAGAACAAACATCAACTTCTTCGCCAAAGAATGGAAGACTATATCCAATTGAAAGAACACATATAAGCCTCTTGTATTCTGACCTCAATCCCCCAATTCAACCTCTAAATGCAAGAAGATTAAGAAAATAATCAGAATGTCCTCCTAAAATATCATCATTTTCTTAGTAATGACTTCATATCACTTTAAAGTGGAAGTTGGCATGTGGATTGAAAGAATAGAAACACTAGAAATCCATCCATTGTCGGTGATAAATTAAGCTTTATTAGAAAAATGACCTCAAAATTTTGGGTTCACAGGGAGGGTTTAAACATGTTATGCGAGGAGAAGATGGCTTATGTTATAAAGGAATTGAAGTGTTGGGATATATAAAGGGGCAGGGTATACAAAACCATTAAATAAATGTCATAGTCAATCAAACAAACCAAAACAATATGTAATGACCAAAGAAAACAAAACAAAGTGTTCCAATGTTCCTAGCGAAGATTCAATATATAGCATGCTGCACTGTTGAAATGAATTCAGTGCAACAAATTAAAAAAATGAGGTACAGATGCTGAAATTAGCAGCTCGAACAAACATCGGAAAATTTAATGGTTACCAAAAATAAATAAATAATAAAATTAAATACATCCTTTAAAAAATAACTAATTGAATTTCTTGCATTTCTAGAATGATCACCAATCCTTGGATTTCTGACAAATTTTCAATCGGACGATATCTACTATAAAGCATATTGTACATCTGATTTGCTGTTATGTTTGCAATTCCAAGTATTAAGATTGGTATTGTTTTCATCATCTGTAACAAATGTAATTTTGCACGAAACAGGTTTCCTCTCATACAGATGAACTAATAAATTTTTTTTTTTCCATCCTTCTAAACAAAATTTAGAAAAAGTTTAAACCCAAACAGCCTATCATATTAAAGAGAGGAGGTCACATGGCCAATATCTTTAAATCTACAACTAGCAAGACTTCACCTTCTAAATAAGCATTGTTGATGTTACTGAGTAACGGATAGATAATAATTATATTACTTTTACGCCCTGGTAAAAGTAAAAAATGAGGTACGGATGCTGAAATTAGCAGCTCGAACAAACATCGGAAAATTTAATGGTTACCAAAATTAAATAAATAATAAAATAAAATACATCCTTTAAAAAATAACTAATTGAATTTCTTGCATTTCTAGAATGATCACCAATCCTTGGATTTCTGACAAATTATCAATCGGACGATATCTACTATAAAGCATATTGTACATCTGATTTACTGTTATGTTTGCAATTCCAAGTATTAAGATTGGTATTGTTTTCATCATCTGTAACAAATGTAATTTTGCATGAAACAGGTTTCCTCTCATACAGATGAACTAATAAATTTTTTTTTTTCCATCCTTTTAAACAAAATTTAGAAAAAGTTTAGACCCAAACAGCCTATCATATTAAAGAGAGGAGCATTCACATGGCCAATATCTTAAAATCTACTACTAGCAAGACTTCACCTTCTAAATAAGCATTGTTAATGTTACTGACTAACGGATAGATTATAATTATATTACTTTTACGCCCTGGTGAGTGGATAGGCGTAAAGGGCACAGTTGATTGCACCTTGTACCAAATCATGGCATGACACTGCAAGCCTAATGAAGGAGCGAGAAAGTAAGGATGTCAACACTATGGCTTGGCTTGACAGCATGGTTGCATCATGCCCTAAGGCACGGCAGCAAGCCAAGGTCATGGGATGTATGACATGCCATGGGCATTTTATTGTTACAGATAAAATGCTAGGGATGGTAGGTTTAAGCTTTCCAAAGCCAGCAGGGTGCAGCTAATTGGGATTGTATTCTATTTTTACAAGTAAAATCGTAAATAAATGGTTATTTTATTCTAAGGAGATAATTAATCAAAAGAGAAGTCAGTAATTCAAAAAAATTCATGATTTTCTAGAAACAAAGGCACAACGATTTACCCATGCTGGAACACTATATGCATGCGAGTCTATTTATCAAGAGGCATGATTCACAAGGTTATGAGACAAACCTAAACAGATATGGCCATTGCTATAAATATGAGCGTGAAGTGGAGCCGGAGAGAGAAAAACCACCTGTCCAAAACCAAAACAAGAGTAACCAAAATTAAGACCCAACCAATGGGGATGGATTCCAAACAAAATACTTCATTAACACTCTATTTAAGTTGCCAAGCCAACATCAGTACAGAAGAGGAACTAAACTTTGAATCATAAATTCTTTCCTATCAGTAACTATAACAAAAAATAAATAAATAATTCCACCCAAAAATATTTACTACCATATGCCTTAGTGAAGATGAAATTGGTATTTTTTTTTTTTCCAGCCTTTTCAACCATATCACAGGACACAATATTTTTTAAATATCTTATTTTCTTTTCTTCCTGGATTCTTCTATTTTTTCTTTCAACCAAACATAGGGCAATAATTTTACAACGTCGGATCAGATGTATTCAATTCACCTGTGGGGCTTCCATAGGGTAATGCTCGGGAAAATCAACTTGAAGCTGGTAAGTTTCATTGGCGTACAAAGTCCCCGGTGCGCCGTTGACTTCAATTACCCATCTATAAGCCAAAAACCAAACAATTCAAACCCCAGCTACAACGTAACATGTCCCAATTCGAAAAAAAAAAAAAAAAACCTAGAAATGACAATCAATTCATTCAATCGAAGAAAGAGATGAAAGTGAGAACCTTTGAAGATTATCAGTGACTTTGTGTTTGAATCCAGCAGGTGGATTAACCTGCCATTCCACAAGCTCTTTCTGGAGCCGATTGCATGCGATCTTGCTCAAAGCCTACAAATGATTGAATTCAATGAACGAAGAAGATTAGAAGCTTTACAATTATAGCCAAATTAGGGCCAAATACATATAATTATATACATATATATATGTATGCATGTATAACCTTGCGAGAATGGGCGGAGGTGCTGGTCATGGCTGCTTCAACGATGCAGAGTAGAGCGAGAAAGAGAGAGAGGAGAGAATGTTGGCTTCTAGAGGGCACCGTTTGGTTAGTCAGGACTTTGTGTGAGAACCATTGGACTTTTACTGTGGATATTTAATATTCGATTTGGAGCAAGTCTTTAGTGCACTGCAAACCGGTAAGTTTAGTCTAAACCAGGTTCAAAGCTTTTTGATCCGCGTGATCACGGATGTATTATGCTACGTGGCAAACTTTCTTGGTTGTTTACGTGAGAACCGCTCAGTAGGGTGGCACACAGTGGATTTGGGTCAAATAAAAATCGAACCGATTGTAACAATATTTAAAAAATTAAAATCCAAATTACTGAGACTTGAAACTGAATTGTAAACAAGTGGTTGATTTTGGTTCTGAAACATAATTTTGTTTTTTTTTTTTTTGGGTGAAGTACGGGAGAAATTATTGCATGGACCAAGTCCATACACCTCACTTGTTGAGTTGGTGAACTACACCAATTAATTCTAGCCACATGTAATAAAAAATTATTTTTATATTAAATTGGCCACATCAGCTTTGCAACATCTCTCTACTCTTTCAACCTTCCCATTTGGCTCCATCTATCTCTGTTCTCCTTCTCAACTCTGAACTTGCCCTCTCTCTCTGTGCAACTACAAACTACAAAAGCTACAAGAATCAGAAGTTCAAAACCCATATATTTCACTCTCCCTCTCATACATCTCAGTCGGAGAACAAGATTTGGGACTCTCTTCGATTCGTACACCTACTCTTCTTATGTTCATCTTTGTAATCATTTTATTCCAGTATTATAATGATTTTTGAATATTCATCAATCTTTTTTTTCTTTACCTAGAGCGACTATGTCTCACCAGATCTAATTGTCATTGCAAATCAATATTCTTGTCCCATTTTTTTGCTACCGTTGAAGAATTTGATCTAATTTTCGTTCTTGGATATTGGGATTGTGGGTTTTTGTGCCTTTATTCAGCTTTATCTACTATATTCTTATCCGGGTTTCTTTCAACTTGATATAAAAACTGATTGAAAATCCCAATTTCTTTCTGTTATTTTTGGTGTTTGATTTGGGGAGTCTGTCTGAAATATGGTTACAGTGAATGTTGGGATGCTCCATTATGTGTTGGATCATGTAGATGGTGCATTTGTTCACAGAACAAAGCCCTTATCTTCTTCTTCTGCTTCTCCTTTTCCTTTTTCTTCTTTATCTTTGTTGACCTTGCCCTCTCTCTCTCTCTGTAACTACAAACTACGAAAGCTACAAGAATCAGAAGTTCAAAACCCACATATTTCACTCTCCCTCTCTCTGCAACTGCAAACTACAAAATCTACAAGAATCAGAAGTTCAAAACCCAATAGTCTCTTTCCTCTTTCTCTCTAAAACGATGGTGAGTTACAAGGGTCTGATTCCCCGGTTGTGGCCACGAACCAAAGTACGAGTCCACCAAGGACATCCATTGCCGGACGATGCTGAAGAAGAAGCACGTGGCCGCGAGTGAGGTATACTCACAGGAGCATGTGGGTGCGTATCGCTCCCGCGATTCTTAAGTTAGCAGTTGCAGAGAGAGAGAGAGAGGGGGGCAACCTTGAGAGTTGAGAGACAACGGCTGAAGATTGCGAACGGCGAACCCGAACTGGAATAGCGGGCGATGGAAACTGAAAGATATGGGTTTTGATTTTTTGAACAATGATATGCCCATATGGGTTTTGAACTTCTGATTCTTGCAGACGGATAGATAAACTGAAATATATGGGTTTTGAACTTCTGATTCTTGTAGCTTTTGTATTTTGTAGTTGGAGAGAGAGAGAGAGAGGGGGGGGGGGGGGGGGGGAATTCGGAGTTGAGAAGGAGAATAGAGATAGATAGAGCCGATTGAGAAGGCTGAAAGAGGAGACAGATGTTGCAAAGCTGATGTGACAAATTGAAGATAAAAATAATTTTTTATTACATGTGTCTAGAATTAATTGGTGTAGTCCACCAACTCAGCAAGTGAGGCGTATGGACTTGGTCCATACAATAATTTCTCGAAGTACGAACACTCCCTGAAGTTTGGCAAAATGACACTAAAAGAAAATTTATCTGTTTTTTGAACATAGACCCCTGAAGGTTCAAAAATGAATGAAGACACCCCTTTACATGAAAAATTGACCAAATTACCCTTTAACCATTTAGGAGACTTTTTTAACTTTACAATTTAATAAATTAGACCAATATACCCTCATGAATAATTTATGCATAAAAAAAGTAAAAAAAAAAAAAAAAAAACTTAGTAGGGTGGCACACGGTGGATTTGGGTCAAATAAAAATCGAACCGATTGTAACAATTTTTAAAAAATTAAAATCCAAATTGCTGAGACTTGAAATTGAATTGTAAACAAGTGGTTGATTTTGGTTCTGAATCATAATTTTTTTTTTTTGGGTGAAATACAAACACTCCCTGAGGTTTGGCAAAAGGACACTAAGAGAAAACTTATCTGTTTTTTGGACATAGACACCCCTGAAGGTTCAAAAATGAACAAAGACACCCCTTTACATGAAAAATTGACCAAATTATTATAATTTAATAAATTGGACCAATCTACTCTCATGAATAATTTATGCATAAAAAAAGTTAAAAAAAAAAACTTTATATTGTTCACTTTTTTTTCTTTTTTTTTTTTTTTCTTTTTTTTTTTTTGCTATTTACTTTATAAATGTCCCAACTTCTTAAAAATGTAGACGTCTAAAATGATTTTTTGATTCAATACATATATTTTAAATAAATTATATTTTGTTATTACTTATTTTCTTTTTCTTTTTTATTTTTAAATTAAGAAGCTTAATTCTTTCATCTAAAAAAATTAAATCAATCTATTTTCCTTAAAAATAAAAAATATAGTACCAGTATAACTTTATGCATCTTAAATTATATATCTAATATTATGCATTTCCCAATATAAAAGAAAATAGGTACTAGTATAACTTTATGCACCTTAACTTTATGCATGCCTTTTTTTTTTTTTTTTTTCCCCTTTGTTTTATTATTTTTTTTCCCTTTGTTTTATTATTATGTTTTTTTTTCCCTTTCATGTTGGAAAATGCATAATATTTGATATATAATTTAAGATGCATAAAGTTATACTGGTACCATATTTTTTATTTTTAAGGAAAAGATATTGGTTTAATTTTTAAGATGAAAGAATTAAGCATCTTAATTTAAAAATAAAAAATAAAAAGAAAAGAAGTAATAACAAAATATAATTTATTTGAAATATATGTATTGGATCAAAAAATCATTTTAGATGTCTACATTTTTAAGAAGTTGGAACATTTATAAAGTAAATAACAAAAAAAAAAAAAAAGTGAACAATATATATATATATATATATATATATATATTTTGTTACTTTTTTTATGCATAAATTGTTCATGAGGGTAGATTAGTCCAATTTATTAAATTATAAAGTTAAAAAAATTTCCTAAATGGTTAAAGGGTAATTTGGTCAATTTTTCATGTAAAGGGGTGTCTTTGTCCTTTTTTGAACCTTCAGGGGGTGTCTTTATCTGAAAAATAGGTAAATTTCATTTGAGCGTACTTTTGCCAAACCTCAAGGAGTGTGGTTGTACTTTACCCTTTTTTTTTTAATCTTTAAAAAAAAAATCTCAATAACACACTACCAATCACATGAATTTGAATTATCAAAACAAATACAAATTTATTCAATAAATAGATAATAATAAACCTCCCAACCAATAGAGCATGTGAGCTATTATCCTATTTTGTAAAATAAATATGAAATTTAGAAGTAAAAATTCATTTGACAATAGAATTATCTTGGTGTGCAGGCATGACCTAATGCAATGGTAGTTGATGCAATTGCCCCCACCAATATATACTAAGTAATTTTTTCTTTTTATTTTATAGAACAATTTACCTTGACATGAATAAGAAAATGCAGAATTGATCAAGCTAAAGTCAAAATATAAATATATAAAATAAAAAAAAATAAAAATTGAAATTGAAATAAAAGGAGCTCGACAAATTTCTAACAAAATAGGAGTACGTAATAAGTTAATAACATACTTGCATGTAGAAATTCATATTCTGGTGTTGAAACTATTAACATCACATGAATCTGCTATTAAAAACGTTAGACAAATAATATATTCCTTCGCCAAGAGCCTAGAATCCATGATCCAAAAATAGTGAAGAAAATCTATCGTTCCTACTCAACCAAACAGCAAGGACATAAAAAGGCCTTTCCTTTTTCCTTTTCCCCATTCCTCTCCTTACATCCTTTCCTCCCAAAATTTTATGACCTCTCAAAATTTCATCCATAGCAACCTTGATGCATACACATGCAGCTCACTAATGATACTTTCGTACTAGTACCATGAAATTTGGACAAAAATTAAATTACTTCAAAATACCTATTCATATACCCATTTATAGAGAAAAGGAAAACAGAAAACACACACACACACACACAATGATGAAAAGAAGGCTAACACAAATAACAGAAGCATATGTTGGTTCAATACTATTACTGCTTTACAAGTTACACCCAGCATTGCTGCCATGCAGCAACTATTGGGAAGTTCTTTCATGCCCAACTATATATATAGTAATGTATTTGAAATGGAAAATTTAATATTTGTCCCATCTTTTTACGAAAAGTTAAGAAAGATACATCCTCATATAATCCACACGCATATGAATGAGGTGGTGTTACAGTCCTCAAGAAATTATTACACTTTATCATCATGGAACCACCATCTTGTCTCCTTGGGAGATCTGCCATTCCTACGGTTCTTCACATAACGGTCGTTATCTGCAGGTCGTTGCTATGCAACAGATAAAAGGTGTGAGAATAATGCTACAGAATTACCGCATAAAGAGATCTTTATCAAGCAAACACACAATGCACACATTACGCGCCCAGAGATTAAAGCTCTAAAATTTAGAAATTTAAAATCAAACCTTCGCGGTGGAACTCGATAACATAGAAAGAATGTTGATACAGATGGTACTAACAGTCATGGCTGGGGACCAAAAATCATACAGAATATCTGCACACATAAACCATAATACGCCACATAAGTCATTGAAGGGCAATAGACCACAAATACCCTGCCCAAAGAAAGAACCAAGAAGATTTTCTCTTCCCTACGAAGAAAATTTATGAAATCTCTTTCTTTAATCGATTAAAAAAATAAACACAGGAAAATGAAACAAATTTAAAAGCTTATATCAGTCGGGGATAAACGGATAAAATCAGTGTTATCAAGCCTGGCCCAACCGGATAGTTGGTCCTTTGGACCGCTTAAAGAAGTAGACAGAATTCATCTATTCATTCGACTCAGAAAGGTTTGTAGGTAGCCTCCTGCCCCACAACCTCAACATGAGATGTCAAAACTCGAGCTAGTATTATTCAGTAACCTCAGTACTATATAGCAACTTTATATTAACTTTTCCTTTCCTTCAATTCCAAGCAACAAAATAGAGGGTGTAAGGTTAGTCTTTTGTCGGTATGGGGAAGAGGTTGGCGGTTGAACCACTCGTCCGGTTTCTATTGCGGGAGGAGTTGGGGCATGGAAATCCATTCGGAAGGGATGGGATTCCTTTTCCTCTCATATCAGATTCAAAGTTCATGATGGTAGTTGCGTCCGTTTTTGGGAAGATATTTGGTGTGGGGATCAGCCATTATTCCGTACATTTACCAGATTATTCAGTATTGCAGTTGATAAACATGCCTACGTAGCTGACTGTTATCGGCTTGATAATAGTAGGATTACGTGGAATGTGCATTTTCGGCGTTCATTTCAGGATTGAGAGTTGGATGAGGTGAGTATTTTTCTAGACCAATTGTATCGGCAGGAAGGAATTGGCAGGGGTTATGACAATTTGACATGGATTCCCTCTTCTCACAGTCGCTTTGAAATAAGATCTTTGTTCTTATGTCTTGTCTAAGTTTGTATGTTTTGACTTCCCATGGAAGACCATTTGGCCCTCTATGGTTCCTACTAGGGTGGCATTCTTTGTGTGAACCGTTGTTTGGGGTAAGATTCTGACAATTGATAATTTGAGGAAGAGGGGAAATTGTTTTGTTAATTGGTTTTGCCTATGCAAGCAAGATGGGGAGTCAGTTGATCATCTCCCAATGCATTGCCTTGTGGCGCACGATTGTTGGAATCTTATTCTTGGTTTGTTTGGCATGTGTTGGGTAATGCCACGTTCTACTAAGGATTTGATTCATGCCTGGAGAGGATGTCGTGTGAGTAGGGGTGTACGTGATTATTGGAGATCTGTCCCACATTGCGTATGGTGGTGTATCTAGAATGAGAGAAATAGTAGAATGTTTGAAGAGAAGGAGTCTACGGCGACACTGAAACTTGTTATTATTCGTTCTCTCTTTAGTTATGTGAAGTGAGTTCTTGTTCCTCTTCTGATGATTTAATTTCTTTCTTTGATTCTTTGGGGCCTTAGACCCCGATTCCTCTAATGTCTAAAGGATACGTTCCCCTTTTGAACGCCTTTTTTAATTCATTATTACGTATAAAAATATATATATATAAATGACCACATAAGAACAATAAATAAATGACTGATGTATCCAAAAGCAACTTTATATTTACTTTTTCTTTCCTTTAATTCCAAGTAACAAAATAGAGGGTGTAATATAAATGACCACATAAGAACAACAAATAAATGACTGATGTATCCAATAGCAGAGATAGGCTCATAAAAGATGAGGAATAAGCCAGTTTCTCCTAATTATATTAAGATATTTGAAATTGTTAAGCCAGTTTCTCCTAATTATATTAAGATATTTGGAATAAGCCAGTTTCTCCTAATTATATTAAGATATTTGAAATTGTTTCATTTTTTTCTTTTCCTTTTTTTTTTTTATAAAAAAAATAAAGATATATCTCAAACCTAGTGCTGCTAGCATAATTTAACCATCAGTCAGACATTAGGGGTGGCAATTGGGCGGGTTTGGGCGCCCTTTAGTGACCCGTTTGGAGTGGGTCATACATGGGTTGGACATTAACTAGGCGAGTCAATCCGCTTCTAACCAGATGACCCGAATGTTTTTTAGATACCAATGATTTGGCTGGTGAGCAATTGGGCTAACTCATACCCAACACAATGGCCATAATTCGGGTTGGCCCGAACCTGTCTAGAGTTTGGGTCGACCCAAATCCAAAAGGAAAATTATGACCCAATATTAAAGCATAAAAACTTTCACTATGGCACTTGCTACCTATCAGACCTCATTTGATCTTCCAAAGTACCTACCAAAAAGAAAATTTAAGAGAACGAGCAAAAGAAATCTCGTGTAGATGGAACTAATATATCTAAATACAGCAGCTCAAAGGAGCATCTAGCTAAAAATCAAACCCCTTAAACCACTAAAAGAGTTGCCAGGTTTAAAACAAAAAAAGAAAAGAAAAAGAGTGGTTGTGTATCTGTGTGCGCGCGTGTGTGTGAGAGAGAGGAGGGAATGTGTGCTGAGCAAAGAAGGGTATGGCACATATACAGGTCTGCTACATGCCACCACACGCGAAAATTATATGTGATTCATTCGTGCATGCGATCATAGTTCTCGATCAAGCCCGGTAAGCTGCCCAATAAGAGACAGACACGTACATCACTCAATGACCATGAGATGAAGATGAACCATAGCAGATAGATAGACAGTAATGGCAGTCAACAATAGCAAAGCTAGAGACACACCCATAGTTGGAGAGAAAAGCCCGGCTTTTAATTTTCCAGAAAAATGTTTTCCTGAGAAAATTTCTAAAAGCGTACCTTGAAAGAGCTAAAATAATGGCAGAAAAGTGAAGATCCAGATGGTGTGTTGAGCAACAATGGTGGTGGGTGGGTTTAAAAGAGCACCATTTTAGAGAGAGAGGAGAGTGAAATGGAATTACGTTCGCCAGTTGTTAGTATTGAATTATTTCTCACTCTAATCTACATAGATTAAAGAAAGAAATAGAGAGAGATTTGGTATAGTTTAGAGAGAGAGGTATAGTTGACGGCAGCTTGATGCACACGGGGAGTGAGAGTGAGAGAGAGAGAGAGAGATTGGTAATTGGTGCGGTACGCGAAAAGAGCTAGGTTGGAAGTTCAATTGGGCGAGTTATCAGTGGGTACCTGCACTCAACTCACTAATTACCCACTAATTACATTGTATTTTGTGAAGTGACCCCTTAATAATCCGCTCACTTAAATCACTCACCCAATAACTCATTTTTAGCAGGTGGGTTCGGGTAAGTGCCACCCCTAGTCAGAATCTCCTTAAATGCAATCCTTAGATACCAGAACTATGTACAACTTAAAGAGAAAAGGAAGGGGTTGTTTTTTAAACCCGTTTACTGTCAACCCTCTCTCTCTGAGAATTGCAGCAGGGAAATTAGGGCCTCGGATAATAAACTTTGTCATGCATGTATGCTCCACAATTCAAGCCTTCAGGCCCACTGGTGCCAAAGACATTCGGCTCATCGTATCCTCAACAAAAAGAGAGTTTTAGAACATAATTGAGGCTGAAATTCCACTCACTATTATTATTTTCACTATTACTCACTAAGATTTGTAATGCATGATCAATTATAGTAGTTAAATGTGATTAGGCTTTTATGTCCAAGACAACATCTTTTACATCAATAATTATCAAGTAGGCATTGAAGTTGATGATGATGGATTCTATTGAAGAGTAAAATCTTAGATGACAAGACAATCCAACAAAATTAAGCCCATGATGAACTCCTACGCCCACAACACAGCGACACATGTCAAAATTAGTGTCAAAAGTACTGCCACAAAGGACGAATCGTCTTTAAATTACCTCATAATATGAGTCCAGCATCTACGTTTGCTTCTGATAAGCATGAAACTTTTATCAGCTGAATATCATACCCATGTCAATATCCATAAAAAAGTCTTGAAGGAAGTGTGGAGTAAAGATTTACACTTACCCTCCAGATCTTCCTTCAAAATAAAGATGACAAGGAATCTGGTCCTTGAAGACTTTGAGATAGAATTGGTGGGTAGAACAAACTTCAACTTCTTAAACAATGAATGGAACACTAAATCCAATTAAAAGAACACTGATAAGCTTTCATAAACTGACATTACTCCCCCATTTAACCTTTAAATGAAAGAAGATTTCGAAAATAATCAGAATGTCCTCCCTAAAATATCATCATTTTCTTAGTAATGACTTCATATCGCTTTAAGAAGTTGGCGTATGGATTGAAAGAACAAAAACCCTAGGAATCCATTCATTATCGGTGATAAATTAAGATTAATTAGAAAAATAGCCTCAAATTTTTGGGTTCACAAGGAGGGTTTAAAATATATCATGTGAGGAGAAAATGACTCAAGTCATAATGAAAATTGAAGTGTTGGGATAAATGAAGGGGCAGGCTATACAAACGAATTAATAAATGTCATAGCCAATCAAACAAAACAAAACAATCTGCAATGAACAAAGAAAACAAAATAAAGTGTTCCACTGTTCCTAGCCAAGATTAAATATATAGCATGTTGCACTTAGTTGAAATGAAATAATGGTCATGATGGGAAACAAGAAAGGAAATCAACTCCACGTATTTAAAAAAATGATGTACAAATGTTGAAATATACTTTAAAACAAAAATATACTTTAAAACATAACTAACTGAACTTCTCACATTTTCTAGCATGATCACTGATCTGAGTGGTTTTATTTCAAGCATTTATGACATTATCAATCTGATAATGCTTACTATAAAGCATATTGTACATCTGATTACAATTCCAAATATTCATGTTGGTATCATTTTCATTCTGTAACAGATGTAATTTTGCACAAAACAGGTTTCCTCTCATACAGATGAACTAATAAATCTTTTTTTCTTTCATTTAAATGAAATTTAGAAAGATATTGAACCTAACCAGCTTATCATATTAACGAGATGAGCACTCATATGACCAATATATTTAAATCTACTACTAGAATGACTTTGCCTTCTAATAAGCATTGCTAATGTTATTGATGAATGGATTGTTTGTCTGTTGCGAAGAAAATTTGAAAGAGATTTTTTTTTTTTGGTTGTGAAGGAGAAGGGGGGAAGGTTTATACATTTTCATTTGTCAAGTATGAAGGAAACAGAAGTGAAGAACTCCCTCTAGGCTATTTATCAAAGAAAAAGAAAAAACTTCCTCCTAGATTCACAAAAATAAATGTCCGATGTATTGAATATGCCATGATTCCTAGAGAAAGAGAGGATGGAACAGTCCCCCAATTCCAGCCCCCGGGGTGGACGTGCGGATATAGGCGCACATTGAATGGTGTATCGCGTTGTGGCAGGATACCAATGTGACAACCTTAAATTTTTAATTAAGTCTTCCTATGTTTAGGGCCAGAATTACATGATTTTTTATTTAATTTCTTTATACCTATTTCATGTGTTGCATTTTCAATATTAGTACATCCCTAATTGCTTAGAATTTATTTAAATGAATCGGAAGTCATTAACTTGATTTCTACCTATTTTACACGGTTCGTTGGCAATTTATAATTCCTTAATTGTCTAGTATATAATTTTTTTTTCGATCTAGTATTTAATTTATAGTCATGAGTTTCATTTAATTTTTCTATTTTACTCATGGGATGAATTTAGTTGTTAACAAAAAATAATAATAATAAAGAAATAAAGAAATAAAGAAAATGGGTAGGGCCATTGAGTGATTACTTTTGGAAATGAGGGAGTATTGAGATATTAATAGAAGGTGGTTTAGTGGGTTTGCATGTGGCAGCATATAGGGGATCCAGAACTAAGTGTCATTCATTTGCAAAAACTTGGAGACACGTTTAATTATTTAGCACTACACTTGTAACTAGTTCCCTCATAGTTGTTGCATGCCAAACCAAAAAGAAAATTCCAAGCCGTGGGTTGTTTGACAGAGAGAAAGAAGAACAGAAAGTGAAGAAGAAGAAGAAGGGTTTGGACTAAGGCTGAAAATGTAGGCATTTTACCCTTACACCATCTAATCTCACCACCTCCAGTTGTTACCTTAAATTGGGTAGGGATTCTTTCTAACTCTTGCAGCCTTGAGAGTTTTTTTTAAAAGTTTTGTTTCCCAATTTAATGTTCCATGAAATTATAGTTTTTTTTTCTTGCTGCAAGTACATGATTTTCTTATAGTCAAATGCTTGATTTTAGCTAAGATATTATACATATGCTTGGCATGATTTGAGCTTTGGTTACAACAAGTATTGCTTGTAATTTTATTTCAGAACTCTACATGAGGAAATGTTTTCCAATCAGAACTTAGCATGTTGATAGACTGATGTATATTGTTAATTCTACGCCAAAATAATTCTGCTTAGATTCTGGAATGTTGTAATTGAGTTGTCTTCAATTGTTTGGGTTGAATTATTCTAGTGCTTAACTTTGGGCCTAGGAAGGTGATGTCCCGGGTGAAAGGGGTGAGCAATTGGGTATAAGCTACCCGTTGGTGAAAGATCATAAACCCGCAGCGGTAGACCCTAGATGGGTATTTAGAGTTGAATCCCTACTAGTCGAAGGGGGAGAGATAGTTGGGATCACTCTAATTGAAGTAAAGTTGTTTGACAAAAGGCCAAATGAAGATTAGCTCTTTACTAACTCACTTTAACTCTTAAATGGTTTTAGAACTGGGATTTTCTTTTAGCTATTTTTTTTATTTATTAAATTCCATCATGTTATAATTGGTCTTGGTAGAAACTTGGCCAACGATTCTTGTGTAAATCAGACCATGTAACTAAAACCCCATGGAGGCATTTGTTAAAGGCTTTCCAACTAGGCATTGTCTCACCATTTTTATTTTTCAGGTCTTGGTGCTCAGGACGGCGATGCTAGGCCTGAGCTTGAGTTCCTATAGATGTGATCCTTTTGTGGAGCATCTTATGCTTGGTGTTTTTGTGTAAAATATTAGCCTTAAGTACTATTTTGTTCATGTTTGATGCCTTATGAAACCATGTTAAGGTCGTGGTTGCTGTGCTAGAGTGAAGATGACAACATGCTCTCTGCTATGTGTTCTTTAGGACTGGGAATTGAATCTAGATGTTTTGTGTATAGCCTGTTAATGGTAGCATATTTACTTAGTGACTCTTTATTTTGGGTGTACAAATTTGAACTGAAATTATCTTTCTATGGATGACTTTATGCAATGTATATATTCTTAGCATCTTTAGAACTTTGTTATACATATCTATTATATAATTAAGTTGTTCATGGGGTAAGTTCTGAATTTCTGTTAGAGGGTTTTTTTTAAAGAAGAAACAAAAAAATCCGTTTTAAAATTTCCTCTAGTTCTTGCCTGGAAATGAATTTTAATCAGAGGTTGTAGTACTTCAAATGCTGTGAAATTTTACCATATGTTTCCCCTTTATGTATAAAGTCTCTCACAAAATTTTATAATTTTTCGATTGGTGGATATTTTTAAAAAAATCTTATATCATCTGCTGTTTAGTTTCTGGTCACAGTTTGGAAACTGAATTTGAGAAAAGAATTTGACGGCTTTCCTGAGATCAATAAATTATGAAAATTTCTAATTTTATTATTTCAAGTGTCTAGTTTCTAAAGGTTAAGGCCCCAAATTTTTATTGGCTCTCTTAAAGACTAAGCAAGCCAAAGTTTTGCATTTGGTTCCAATTCAGCATAAGTTGTGAGAGCCTTCTTCCTTCCAAAAACTGTTTTCCTCGGTGTTTTTCTAGCATCCGGGAGTGACTTGGTCACATTGTCATCTGAGTCTAGTTTCTAAAAAAAATTTAGTTTGCTTCATTTCGATAATAATTGAATTTTCAATGATTTTTTTGAGTAACCGCTGCGCAGAATTTTCTTAAGTTGGAACTGTTTTTTTTTTTTTTTCTTCCCGTTTTAACCTCTTTTATCACGCTCTATGGTTTTGGGGCGTGACAATCCAGGTGAGTGGATATGCATAAGGGGCACACTTGATTGCACCTTGTACCAAATTGTGGCATGACACTGACAACACAATGAAGGAGTGAGAAAGTAAGGATGGCAGAACTTTGGCTTAGCTTGACAACATGGTGGCATCATGCCACAAGGAACGACAGCAAGCCAAGGTCATGGGAAGCATGACATGCCATGGGCACTTTTTGGTCACAAATGAAACGCTTGGGGATAGTAGGTTTGAGCTTTTCAAGGCCAGCAGGGGGCAGCAAATTGGGATTGTATTATATTTTTACAGTAAAATTTTGAATAAATGGCTATTTTATTCTATGAAGATAATTAATCAAAAGAGAAGCACTAATTCAAAAAAACTCAAGGTTTTTTAGAAACAAAGGCACAATGATGTACTAATGCTGAAACACTATATACATGCATGTCTAATTTACCAAGAACCATAATTCATAAAGTTCTGAGACAAACCTAAACAGATATGGCTATTGCTGTAAATATGAGCCTGAAGCGGAGCCGGAGGGATAAAAACAACCTGTCCAAAACCAAAACAAGATAAACCAAAATTAAACCCAAACAATGGGGAAGGATTCCAAACAAAGTACTTCATTAACACTCCATTTAAGTTGCTAAAACAACATGATTGATTCGGTACAGAAGATGAACTAAATTTCGAATCATAAATTATTTCCTATAAGTAACTATAACAAACAAAAAATAAATAATTCCACCCAACAATATTTATTACCATATGGCTTAGTGAAGGTGAAAATGATCTTTTTTTCAGCCTTTTCAACCATATCACAAGAAACACAATATTTTTGAAATATCACATTTTCTTTCCTCAATTCTTCGAATTTTTCTTTCAACCAAACATAAGATAATAATTATAAAACGTCGGATCAATTGTATTCAATTCACCTGTGGAGCTTCCATAGGGTAATGCTCAGGAAAATCAACTTGAAGCTGGTAAGTTTCATTGGCGAACAGAGTCCCCGGTGCCCCATTGACTTCAATTACCCATCTGCATACCAATAACCAAATTATTCAAAACCTAACTACAACGTCACATTTTCCAATTCAAACAAACCTAAAATGAATTGATCAAATCGAAGAAAGAGGTGAAAGTGATAACCTTTGAAGATTATCAGTGACTTTGTGTTTGAATCCAGCAGGTGGATTAACCTGCCATTCCACAAGCTCTTTCTGGAGCCGATTGCATGCGATCTTGCTCAGAGCCTGCAAATGATTGAATTCAATGAACGAAGATGATTAAAGTTTTACAATTATAGCCAAATTAGGGCCAAATAAATATAATCATATATACGCCTAACTATATATATATATATGTGTGTGTGTGTGTGTGTGTGTATATATATATCTATATATATGTTTATATAACCTTGCGAGAAGGGGCGGAGGTGCTGGTCATTGCTGTTTCAACAGTGCAGAGTATAGAGGGAGGGAGGAGAGAGAAATAAATAGAGAATTTGGAAGGTTTGTTTTTAGTGAGCACTATTGGGCTTGTCAGGCATTTGTGTGAGGCCCATTGGACTTTTAATGTGGATAGTTGTTACAAGGTATATTTGTCCCACATCGGATTCGGATGAAAAAGTGATTGGGTATAAATGGGTAGGTATGCAGTACTATTCAACACTTTGAGCTTTTGGATAAATGAGCAGACGCCCACCTGTTACAGTTGGTATCGGAGTCAGATCTAGTCCTTAGTCCGATACCACGTTAAGCATCCGGCCCGAAAGGTATTTGGGTGACTCATCCGGGTAAGCAGGGTGGTCCGACCGCAACTAGAGTGTTGAGATATGGAGCACTACCCAACAGTTGAAGTTTTTGAATAAATAGGCAAGCGCTCACTCGTTACAATAGTCAATATTGGATTTGGAGCAGTTGTTAAGTGCAAACCGGTATATTTAGTGCAAATAGGATCAAATCCCACAGTCTGTGGCTTTTGATTCGAGTGATCACGGATATAGCCACGTGGCAAACAATCCCTTTCTACTATTTTTTTTCTTCTTATTTTGATTTGTTTTTTCACTATATTCACCAATTTAACATAAATAAGAGATCCATGCAAAATTGCTCAAGCTCGGATCAAAATATAAAAATATGAAATAAAAACATTAAAATAAAAGGAGTTTAAGTTTTTGTCGTCTACTGTAAATTTAATTTGGACAAAACACTAGCAAAATAATGTAATACCACACCTGCGTGATACCAAGTAACAAATCATATTCTCTCGTATTTTTTCAAATTACATATATTCAAATGTATATAAATAAGTGTAACGGATTTTAAATAATTTACCCTCTCATGATCTGTTATTAAAAACATTAGACAAATTATGTCAATGTGTAATGATAAAACCCATCAACTTTCATTATATTTTTACAAATATTACAATTGTGTAATTTTTTATATATAGAATTGATGGTTTTATTTTAGAAAGAATTCTCTCAAATAAATAAATAAAAACAAACAAATTGGAGTATTGGGTTATGTGTCCAAGTTGTTCAGTATGCTATCAAATAAACAGGCCTATTAATCTATAGATTGGGCCACTGTCTGTACATTTGCTAAAAAGACTAACACCGAAGGGTACCATGGCCCATGGAATCATAAGTCATGGTTGACCCAAAGAGTGGAACCTCCCCATCTCAAATTATATTTGCTTTATGGCCGAACAAAATTTACTACGATATCAAAATTTTTTTTTCTTCCCTGCAAATTAAGGGGGAGGGGACTTTAACACAAGCACGCCCGCTCTAAGGGTTGGGCGCTCAACCAGGTAGGCCGTTGTGTAATGACTTAAGAGCATTTCCAATGTCCTCTCAAGCTCAAGATATAAGAGGTTTTGTTTTCTGATATGCTCCAATGGTGTGCTATACAGCCTCTCAAAATATGAGATTCTCAAAACTTTTCTTATATATAGCAAGTTGCTATAAGTTAAGAACTTGAAATGGTAAGCCTTTTTTTGAATTTTTGTGCAAATATGGGCTATAAAGTCGCATGGAATAGCAAGAATAATGCATTGATTAAAATAAGGAAAGTAATGATCTAAGTGTAAGCACAATTGCCAAAATATATAGAGTTTTGGATGAAATGTATCATTGGACTTTACCTCCTCTTAAAATATAACTTTACCATAAAAAAAATAACATTTTACATTTGAGATGCTCTAAGACATCAATTACTTTGCTTCATTAAGGGGTACTTAAAAGATAATTTGTTTCATTCTTCATAATTGTACCAAAAAATTAACACACTCCAAAAGGATAATGTAATATCTTCTTTTCCCAACAAGACAAATTTGAATTTGTACTATAATAGTACTCTTATCTTGACTTCGTTATATTTAATAACATTTATTCTCTACTCACATAAAAAATAAAAATAAAAATCGGATTTGATCATGTGTGATGCATCTGACTCTCGAACTACTTATCCTGAAATTTTGTAAACTTTTGGACCTAACGAATTGCCCACATTGGACTGTGAAGGAAGGTTCTTTAAGCGAATATGGGCTGTCATAATTGGGCCCCCAACACGAATTAATAAAGTGGATCAATCTCATTAGCCATTTCAAATTATTCGATCCATATGTTTGTTTTCGATACAAGGGTGGGACCATAAGTCCATTTCGCTACCTTTTTGGGAGATAGAATAAAATCCAAGCCTATCAAAATGTATATATATACTTTTGTATTGTGTGTTCATAAAGGTACATCAGACGTGATCACAGATCCATATAATTGACATCCTGGTTTCTGTGGTTGAACATAACCTCGCTATCAATTTTTCTATTTTTCATTTAAAATCAAGATAATACATTAATAGGCAAGTTAAATAAACCGTGCCTTCACAACATCCATCAAAACAGGAGGAAATTAACATAAAAATTCAGTTTTGGGCTTCACATCATTCACCAGATATCTTCGGTTTTTACCATTTTGATCATGAAACAAGTACTGAAAGAACAAAATGGTTGAGTAGGGCAAATCAGTTACATAAACCTAAACGGCAAGAAAAGTAAATGGGATTATGAAATGTATATGAAATTTATATTAGATATTGACCATTTTACCCATTAAGTGAAATTAATCTAAAGAAATTTAAAGTTCAAACTTTACATAGGACAGAAATTTTTTATATTATTTTTAAGATAAGAATATTATATTAGAAATCAAGACTCGATTCGGACTCCTAAAAATAACATAGAACAACCTAACCATTGAGTTACGACGAATAGAATTTCAAAAATTTAGGCTAATAGGGTAAATAGCTAATAAGTGAGGGATGGAACAATAGAAGCCGGACCGGGGACATGAATGGAAGGTAATAGGTCGGGCGGTCGGGACCACGGTGGCTGCAACTGACACAGGCATGTGGCAGTGCACAATGGATACCAAAAAGGCCAAAATGGATCCTACCATCCTCTCCACTCCACCGTTGATGTTAATTACTTTCGACAACAACTACTCAACTGCAGCAAATTATATCAAAATCTAGTTTTTTCTTTTATTTTTAGGTATTTTTTTTAAAAAAAAAATTATTTATTTGTGTCAAACATTCAAGTAAATTTTAACATATATTTAAATTTTTGCTTACATGCATTTGATTTGAATTAGATATATTACAGTTATTGTATCAGTGTATTTATCTAAGAAGTTCATACACTCCAAAATGGTAACTTAATTTTAGTCAACACCGTATGGACATCGATGCTTTATTGACACTTTGCATAGGTGTTGATTGAAACTTGATAATTCTATTTAAAATTTAACTTTTTTATTTTAAATATTTCACAAAGACATCTCAAACAGTAGGTCAATATATTATTGAAACTTGATCAACAGATCGTACACTCAGTCTTATAAAAAAAAACAAATATGTAGTATGAAGACAATATTATGAGCATACATCAAAATGTCAAACCTCTTTTTTCTTTAACATTTTGATATTAAAGAAATATCGTAGCATACTAATAAAGAAAAACACATTAATAAATGACAAGATAGAGATATGATATATACTATATTCAATAATACTCTTTTCCTTCCATAAAATTTGTATATGTTAAAAACTGTTAGTCACAAAGTTTTATGTGACGGAGGAAATATATTTTTATATTCTAATAGGTTGTGTTCTATTTTATATACCTTTATTATAAACGTTATAAATTAATTAAAATTTTATAATTATCTTAATCAATATATATATATATATATATATATATTAATTTAATGGTGTCAGACATGTCAAAGCATGTGTGTCCATCTATGCTTCTTCTTAGACTTGTATAACGATCTAAAGGTAAATTTCACTTACTTTCTCTTAAGTTTGTTAATATTTCACATACATTTCTTTTATATTTTATTATCTCACTTATTATCTCTATTAGTGATTTTTTTTACGGCTTTATTTATAAAATATTTATTATCATATTAGACATTAGAATGACAAAATGATCAAGCACAGTAGAGTATGTTAATAATATTGACAAACGTTGTGCAAAATATTGACAAGCCTAATGCGAGATAAAGTGAAATTTACCCATGATTTAACTGATTGGTGAAATGGTATTGTTTAGCTCATGTATTGAAACACTAGTGAAACTCTCGATCTTATATAATCCTAGTTTAGGACAAAAATACTTGGTACTTTTACCCTTTTGCTATGTACAAATTTGCAAAGTCACTGTGTGTTGTACACATCTGTTTGCTTTCATCACCACGAAGCCGTATTCAAGCCGAAAGAGGGTTTAAATATGCGTTGGCCGGTGGCTAAAATGCGCCGGGGGTCGAACTCCGCCTTCCTTCGCTGAAACGAGGCCCACTTATCTCCAAAGTGGTCCATCCATTCTCGCTGTGTGGTGTAATGGGGCAGGTACTGCTTGGCGTTGATCCCTGCATCATCACAGAATCTCAGGATTTGACGGTTCTGATTGGTCAGGTATTCCAACGTCTGTGTCTCATTTCCACTATCCAGAGCAGACCTAAGCAGTGCCACCAAATAAAACACCTCCTCGTCCGGTGTCACCACTGAGCTCCTCCCATCCCACCTATACAAATACAAAAGTTACATGTTAATATTGAACCGCATCAACGTAGTAACAACGTAATTCAATAATATAAAGATGAATTTTTAGTAAAATTTTAACTTGAACACGACATTTAGGAAAGTATGGGATTTGATGGTTTGGATTCTTTTGATGGATCGAGTGGGACACAAGGTGATGGGTCGTTTCCTGTACTAACGACCTATCTTGGTCGAAATACTTTGTTAGATGACAAGGGGGTATGGTCCGTGATTGGGTCCCACCAAGAAGATCATCTGACAATAGGATCTTCGCTCCTGGGGACCATCACAGCCGTCTGATTAATGGGTTTCAGCCAACAAAATCATACAAAAGTGGATTGTGTGTCATCAGAGTTAGCGAAACAGTGGATCATGGGTGCATCTGATCTAACGTTGGGGACGTGCATGTGAGCCACGTGTTAGGCACAAACATGCCACGTGATACCGAACAGAGGCCTAATCAGCTGATGATACACATCTAGTGGGGGTGTTCCTTATCTTCCATATGTTGTCACGAGTTCATATCACTTCAATTTTTTTTTTTTTTGTTAAATATACTTTTAAATATTAGTGGATTATGCAATAAATTGATTTCATTAATCGAATTATATAAAAATTACATTATTCAAATAAAATTTACATTACATCAAAATAGTGACATGTCATGCACAAAATGACCGCAAGGGATCCGGTTCTATTTTACCTTCCAAACTTAAAAGAGAGTTTTTTACCATACGTGTATATGTATAACTATGAATACATACGTAGTACTCTATATATATATATATATATATATATATACCACATTAACTATGAGCTCATCATTACGATATCTGGTGGGGGGCCTGGGGGCTATTTATGTGTGTGTATATATATATGCCGTGTGTCATGTATGACCTATATTAATACAATATAGTACTTGCATGCAGCATGCATGAATGGGATGGATGGATGCGTGGAATTAGAAAAAGGACAGAGGGAAGCATATATCACAACAAACTTACTTGTTTTTGTTCATTGGGTAGATGAGAATAGGACCACTGGTCTTGTCACCCAAAATGCCCTTGAACACCCCTTTATCGAACTCTTCAATTCTTGATTTTGGTACAAACAGGTTCAGCCATGGGTGTGGCACGTCCCACATTCCCTTGGACCGGAGCTTCAACTCCGCCTTGTGAACCCGGTCCAAGAAATCCACGTACGGAAGGTCCGTCGTGAACATCGTGGCCGGAATAAAATCCAATTTCTTCAAAAGACTCTCCACTTCCTGCAAATGCATACAAATACCCAATTCAATATTATTATGAAAAATGATATCCTCTTTGACAGTAAACTCTACATACTGATATCATGATAACGTCAATCTTTAATCGGGAAAAGTAGCTACAAAACACTTCATGTGTGAGGATAAGTTTGAATTCACATAAACTTTAATTTATTATACCAAGACAGTGTTTGGTGGGCGGGCGGTTAGATTTAGTAATTTATTAGTTAAAATATGAATCAGGTTTGATCAGTTAAATCACAGGATGAGATGGACTATTAGATCACAGAAGATCTTATTTGTTTTATTGTTTATGTCGTGTTACATATTTTAGTAAGTTATTGTATACAATAATCATATTTGAAAGAGCAACTACAACCATATAATCTAGGACAAAATTAATGTAATGACTTAATGATGCCTAGTAGTTGTAGAAAAACCCAAAAATGGTTTGGATTTGAACAGAAATACAAATTTGGACAGTGATTCGAGTAGAATGTTCTAACTTATATAGGGCAATAAAGTAATATCAAGTGCAGTTCTAGAGCATGCACAACTCTAATTATAAAATCGATTGTCTAGCGTAAGCCTAGCTACTAAGTTGATCTTATCGATGGTGTTAAGAAGTTAATTAATACATAATCTTTGACATAGTCATCCAAAATATTCACCGGATTCGAATTTAATTACAAATCAGTGTCCATGGATTTAATAGCCACTTATATATATATATATATATATATTTGTTTTTGTCGATAAGGTAGATGTTAGTCATGGCGTCGTTTTGCTAGCTAGAAGCTACTTCTTTGATCTTAAAACAAGGGACAAAAACACTCACTGTCTTCGGATACAAGACTAATTTACTGTTGCGATGATGTTAGTTCACTTTATTTATATATATATATATATATATATATATATAAAAGGTTAAGAAGATATTACATTGAGTTGTGATATACTGTCGGTAGAATGAATTTAATTATATTTAATTATTATGACATCGTCTCACACCCACATAATATATTCTCAAAACAATATATACTCAGTGTAATGTTGCATCAAACTGTTCACGCGACGGTGCATTAGGTAGTACAGTTTGTACTGCACCGATGCCAACACTTTTAAGTATCATTTCAAGAATGTAAGTTTGAAAGTAAATCAGTGATTTGAATTACAGGTGGGGTCCTCCAAGATTAAGAAAGAGACAAACCGAAATTTCCAACACAGCTTGCAAATTACTCCAGCGTTTATAAATAATGAATCACAGCTTTTGATAGACTGGAATGTCATCAGCCGCCTAACAAGATTTGTCTAGGCATAGGCAGGTCCCCACCAAGACTCACAGTAAAATTAAAAATATACTCTGTAACTCCTAATTATTATTATCTCAATAACATTACTATCAACTTCGGTTTTGCTTCCCAATAATACCCTTAAAAAAGGGCTACGTATTGAACGTACATGTACCTTATACATATTTCTCTACTTTATACACATGGGTTCCACGATAAAATAAACAGATTCGACTAAATTGATGTTAATGGAGAGTGACATGGGTACTTATTTTTTATTTATTTATTTGTAGTAAAGTAATTTAAACCGCTTTGGAACTGGTTTTAAGGATCTTTTTGTTTCTAAACTAGTTAAACGAAATAGTCTCAACAAAAAAAGGCTAGGTTGAAGCAGAGTATAAAGTGCACCTGATCAACGGTGTCGGCGGTTGATTCGTCGTAATTTTTGGTGATCTCCAAGCAGTATAAAACACCGCCATTACTAGCGAGAGAAGAAATCTTAACAGGGTTACGAGGAGAGAAAAATGAAGATCTCCAGTTGTTGATGAGGCCTTCGTCTACAATAACAAAACCCTCAACATAGTCGAATTTTCTAGATGGTGGTTGTCCATGCAGAGAGATGAGATACTCTTGGTCACGAGTAAAAGTTGAAAAATTCGAATACAATACTCGGATCCACCTCACCTGTAAAATAAAATAATAATGTTATTATTATTATTAAATAAAAACCAAAAAAGAAAAAGAAGAGTGAGAAAGTGACTGTGATTCAAAAATATTAAGTATGCGTCAACAACATTGCCAGCTTACGAACAGCCGTTTGTATGGAGTTAAAAAGCTCAAAATGACCATATAATCCTCACCTTCAGTCTTATGCATGTCGTTGACACTACATGCTTGCTTTTTAGATTTTGACATTAACTAATAATACTAGGAAATTATGTGTCTAACCATGTACACAAACAAAACCCCCATTTCAAAATAAGCTGAAATTATTGAGGCAGAGAGAGATGTACCCTTTGGGGTGCTTTTTCAAGAGCAATTCTTGCCCTAGTTATGATCCCAAATTGCCCTAATCCACCAAGAACACCATGAAACAGTTCTGAGTTTTGTTCTTCTGAACATGTCATCAGCTCACCCTTGCCTGAAAAAGTCAAATATAAATAATAATAAAAAATTAATAATGACATTAACAGTCTATGATTCGAGATATATATCAGGAATTTTTTTTCTTCTATTAGAGAAGAAAAATAATGAACAACCTGTAACAACATCTAGCTCGAACACATTGTTAATCTGAGGACCATGGTTGAAAGCTTGTCCACTAATACCAGCATTCGATAAGGTACCACCCACAGAAAGGTACAAGTAATCAGTCCAAGACTTGGGTGCGAGCCCATACTCTAGTGTGGACTTCAACACATCTATCCACAGCTCTCCGCCCCAAACGTCCGCATACCACAGCTTCTCTGCAACCCTCGTCGTCAAAGCCGGCTTCCCAGAAGAGCCGAGCTGAGCTTCGCTCGAGCCGCCGCTCATTTGAATCACCACCCCATTGGTGGTCTGAGCCTGACCGTTTATCGAATGCCCGTGGCCTCTAGCCGACACCGTGAACCCATGAGCCGACTCGTAGGCGGCTCGGACCAGCCTCGCCACGTCCTCGGCAGAAGCCGGGTGGTGAACCGCTAGCGGCTCAGCCCGGTTCAATCCACCGAAATCCAGAGAAGCCATTTCTACGTCAGACGGAGTGACGCTGAGCCGGCCGTCGACGCCGAGCCGAAGAAGCTCCACCGGGTCCAAGGTTAATCCGACGGTCACCATTAAACGACATATAGCAAACGCTAGAAGAAGCTTATTAGTAGCCATATTGGTTGTGGTGTGTTTGTTTGTTTGTGTATATATTTTCCGCTGTTTGGAGGATTTATATAGAGGAAATGGAGGTGAAGGATAAAAAACTGCGCACACCGGCGGAGAGAATTTGGTGACGCTCTCAAAGGGAACAAAATCTTGTGGCAGCAGCGTCGGAACTCGGGGCGCTAACGTAAACCGGATTGCGCTTTAAAGATTTACTACGCAACATGCACAGATTCTCTCACTCTCAAACTAAAAAAACCCTTTCTCTCTCTCTTCTTTTGCTTTCTTTAAGGAGGGAAATATGGAAGGAATGGTTGTAATTTTCTCTCTTCCCAAACAAGTGTTTCTCTCTTCCCAAACAGGTGTTTTTCTCTGTGAGGAGGGAGAATAGGAGAATTGGGGTTGTGTCTAGGAATTGAGATACAGGTTGTGAATTTATAGGACAATGACTTGGGAGGGACTGTGGAGCGACGTGGGAGTTCACGTGAGAGAGATGAGGAGACACGTGTGGGGAGGAGTGAACAGGAAATGGGGTCTACTGGGGAGTGGGACCCACAAGAGGATACGGAGGATCTGTGTGGGGACACGAGCAAGGGAAAGTTCACGTGGGTGCAGAAAGGGCACGACGTTAAGCTATGCAACCAATAAAGATTCTTTCTCCCTCTAGTCTCTTTCTCTCTCTAAAGTTATCGACCAATTAACGTCATCGCCTAAAATTTGATCTATATTAATCATGCGGTCATAATCACTGAATTATATATGTTGGCGGTTTTGCAATTTTGAACACCGAGAAGATGAATGAAACCATAGATTTGCACATTGGTTGGTGTTATCATCAACTTCAACTAGTCGATCTCTATACTTGAAATGGACTAGACTATAGTAATACATAGTTAACCACCAATGGCAAGTGGGTGTTTGGTCACCTTATTTGGTTTTTAAAAACATTACCAAGCTGTTGTTAGTAGTTTTCAATGTCTTGTATGGACTACAACTTTAATCGTTCTAATGATCCACAAACCACTGTGACATGGAACGGATCAATTTGTAAGAAAATGACCTCATTTGGTTTGTTTTTTGGTCGGATACACTCAATTCAAAGTGATGTCAAACCTAATTGTTATCTTCATTATTCAATGAATGAAGCTCTTCAATCTGTTCAAACTCTTTATATAACTTGAATAAATATTACTCTTATAAGTAATTTAAGTTAATTTAAATAATGCAAAGTTCATGTAAACTCAAGTTTTATTCAGATCTCTCAATTTGACTCGTGGGGCTTAATTGGTCTTCTTATGAAAAATTTAATTTAAAATTCTTTATTAATAGCTTTAACTTATATCACCACTTTCTTTATAATATAGTGGTCGGTAAAAAAAAATTGAGGTTTATATGAAAAGTTGTTAGTAGGGAAGTTCCAAGAGTCAATAACATGAGTCCAACTTACTAACACTCAAAACTCACCTCATTTTATAGCCGAACTTGACTCATTTAATTACTAACAGAACTAATATTATGCTAGTATATAGGGTAAATTACACTCTTTTTTATAAAAAATTTGGATAAATTATACATGATAGAGTTTTTATTATTTATTTTTCGTAAAAGTATAAAATATCTTTTATACCCTTATCAAATTTAATAACAGTTTAATAAAAAATATCTATCATACCAAGAGATTATATTACCCTTTTATTTTTCTCACATTTTGTAAACAGCATAGTACCCTAACAAATTTATTTTTCTTTAGAAAAAAAAAAAAACCTAATCAAATGTCATTAAAAATAAATTATTTTTATAAAATTAGTATAAAAAATGACTTTGCATTTCAATGGTATTTTTGTCATTTCATATCAAAATATGAGATTATTAAAGTTTTTATAAAAATAAATGGTAACTTAGTTATTTATTAAATTTTCATTAACATTGGTGTGCGTAACAATTCTCAGAAGATGTCAAAGTAATATAAGCCAAACGGTTTACCCGTATATAATTTGTCTAAATTTCAAGAGAGGTCAGTGTAATGTACTCTATTATATATTCCACAGTTTGAATCATTTTAATCTTAACAACTACAAATCACAAATCCACTTCGGTTATGTCCTAGCGATTTACTCGCTGCACTTTGGAACTTAGTAAGTTCAAGATCTGAGATTCGAGTTCCGCTAAGTGTTCTTTGTGGTTAGCTTCCGCTGCCCCTACAGTGACTTATCCAACTCGAGTGGGGAGGCGCCCTTCTGGGTCCTCAGGATTAGTTGGGTTGTTGAGGAGCTTTAAGGGTTCGTGTCTTCTCGAACGTCTCGAGTTAACTAAAAAAAAAAACACACTACAAATCACAATGTATTGTAGGTACAAAAGTGATACAATCGTAATTATTTTGTATTATTATTTTTTTTTTCTTGAAATTGTAAATCGGAGAAATAACAGGATAAAACAAATTCAAAAAAATAATTGAGAATCTGACATCGATACAAACTTGGCAAAGTATTCGTGTTAATCACTACTCACATAAATCGTTAAGTCCAGTCCAATCAATTACAGACAAAAATTTTCTTAGCCATAATCAGCTGGATTTTACACAAAAACAGCTTGCAATGCATGTTCCTAAACCAAATAATGTTTCCAACCATGATTGATGTGTCTTGTCCGCGCCTAAAGGATCACCATAAAACAAGAAGTGAAACTCCATGGGATTTATTGTCAAAAACATGCAGTACAATGTGTTGGTGTCATCCTGTTCCCATTATGGTGAGACTATATTATCAAGATGAACACTTGTAGTGCTACAGGTTGAATATTGACATCATCAGTCTACATCTCTCTGTGGCCTATTAGGTTAGGTATGTACCTGCGTTGACGATGGTGAACGTGGTAAATTCACAACTCCAAGGATTTATGCCCATGAGGGGATGCGTGTGTGACCTTGTGTCTCTATGTTTCATAACTCCTACAAATTCTTTTCGATATATACATTTATTTATATATTTTTTGTAGGGTAAAAAATTCATGCATTGGTTTGATTACTAGCTAATCCTAGCCGGCTTAGCTATTGAAATAAATATAAATTAAATAACACTCCTCCCAATCAAATTGTTGATAGGAGATTATCTTATTGTATTAATAACTCGGATCTTCTATCATATCATGAAATATTACATGTCATTATAACAATTTTATAATAGTCATACAATAATTTTATATCATTTATGTAACATCTATTTTATATTGTTTACACGAATTTATGTTACATACTGTGTAATAATACATTGCGTAAGAACTTCGTCTTCATTTATTGTTAAGAAATAAAATTGACCAGGAACATTGATTTGATGGCATTTATTAAAAGAAACTCCCTATTTTTTTTTTATTTTTTTTGTGTGCACATATAATTTCTGTTGAATCACGTTACTATTATATTACTGTTTATGATGTAATTTTGGTTAGGTCTATGTTCTTTTAACTTTGTTAAGTACATTGGTACAAGCTAGAATAGGTTAGGTTATTCAACTAATTAGTGCTGGACTATCATTAGTCAAGTCATTGTTTTTCATGAGGAACAAACCTAGCTATAATAATGTTTGTTTGCTGGCCAACATGACATAGCTTCCAACTGTCTCTATGTTGTCATGCAAATAAATCAAAATTCTTTTTATTCACACGAATAAATTAATAATTAAATTAAGCAAAATAGATATGTGTAAGTACTATACATATTTATATATGAATAACTAGTTCATTATTTCCAAATATTTTAGGGATAAACGGCATTAATTTGTCCTTTAATAATCATGTCCTCACATATTAATCATATATTAATTAGTCTAAGTTATACTAATGTAAAAACCTCTTAAAACATTTAAAAATTGTGTCAGTTTGATATTAACCAAAAACGTTATAGCCCATCGTGAATCTCCTCTTAGCGATCAGTTAGACTGAGAATGAGTCCTAACTCCTAAAAGAAAAAATCTTTCTTGCACTAGAAATGCCAAGACGAGAAAAATACATAGAATTTGGTATTTCCACAGCCTAAATAATTGCATATATAATATATATTAATTTATTTATAGAGTTTTTTATTTGGTTAAGTGATAATTTTTCCTCCTAAGATAATTGTGTGTGTGTGGTGTGAGTTAGGTGTGTCATGTGTGATCGTTAGAAGAAAAAAAAAAAATTCTCTTATTAAAGGAAGAGTTGTGACCGCAACCTTCCAAAATTAGAAATTAATTTTAGTATCAACATATTCAACAATCCAAATATTTTTACAAGTGCACCAACTACTAATTAGCAAATGTCTCTCTCTCTCTAATATACACATATATAGACACACACACATTGGGTATTGATTTAAAAATCTCTCATTAAGATTCAAAACATGCATCCTGTAAAAGTCATTCCATCAACTAACTAGATGGGTTGCAGTTTCGATTGAACTTTTGTCAGTCCATGCATATCTCTTTTAATATTACTTTCGTTACTTTTTAATTGTCTATCTTGTAAACTGTAACTCATAATTTTTTAATTGTCCGTCTGGTAATAAGTCACATTTTACGAAATGGACAATTAAAAAAGGACCGAAGGGAGCATTATTTAAAGTCATCTAAGGTTTGGAAATTGCCTAAAGTTTTTTCCGTAGCAGTAACTTGAAGACCACGCCTTGACATAACCAACTTTTGTTCACACTCATTCTGGTTGCCAAGATTGATTGGTTCTTGATAAAATTTCTAAGTCATGACTCGTGAGTCAGACAACATAAGAAAGTCATTTTCAAAATTTGAGATAGTCTCTATGTGAGCAATATTGTAATGAACCTTAAATAATGATTTATTTATTTATTTACATATTCTTGCTTTCACTTTGAATATTATGTTAAAAATAGAAGATTCCGAATATAATCTAATAAAAAGTCGTCACGAAATCTATTGATTTTAACCTATGTGGTGGCCAAACTCAACAATTTGACTATTTTATTTTATTTTAAATATTTAGAATACGGTTGGTTGGAGAAATTATTATATGTTCCCGAACTATAGATTGCGAATCGCTCACCAATTAACAGATAAAGAAATGTGTAAGTTTTATTTAGCTTTTTTCTTATTCTACCAATGATCTCGAAATCATATAATAATTTCTCGATTGAGAAAGTTAAACAGAAAAGAAAGTGGTTTATGTTATCCTTTAATTATTTTTTTCTTTTTCTTATGCCAAATGTTCTGGTTATGATCTAATAATCTTCTTATAATAAAAATGGTTGAGATGGAAAGACAGCCATACGAGTCTTATAATAGCTTTCTTATTTGGTGTCCTAGAATATAACATGTATAGTTTACTAATGCTATGATAAAACAATTAATATTTGTTATGCATGGGCTTTAATTCAAAATTTGATTCCAT